TTAATATAGTATTTACAGGACCAGCACTTGGTGTAATGGCTATGTTGCTGGACTCCCATGTAGTCGACTGTAGTTCGAGTCCCAGACCCAGTGGCTTAAACTCATGCTGGGCGCATGTGCGTGTGTGCCTAAGATCCTAAGAGGAGAATGGAGAAGGGATTGCTGTGTGGCTATCCCCCCCGGGGAGGTGATTTCTTGTTTTCTCTCTTTGTCTCTTTCTTTCTGGCAAATGCACACACTCTATAGCAAAAACTTCCCCCCTCCAAAAAAAAGTATTTACATTGTATGAAAACTCCATGTCCAAAAATGAATTTCTTATATTTGAAAACAAAATGACTTTTCCTCCTCCCTCTTCTACTTAAAACACCACCCTAATCTTCCAAGTTCAATGGCTTACCTGGAAGAAAATGATTAACCCAAGATTTTTGATGAGATATTACCTTTACTTTTTCTTTATTTTTTGTCAACTTCTATGTCAAATACTTGTAAAATAATGTTTTCATCTGAAATGTTTCCTAAATCTGCTTTCCTCCACTGCTTATTGACAGAGTTTGTGTGTTTCTTATTTATACTGCAGTAAAGTAACTTAGTTTTCTTTAGTGAGCACAGGTTGCTCCCATTTTATTTATTTAGTAGAATATTTTCAAACTGATCTTCTTTAAATAATGCTTTCGTGATGACAATAAACTTAAGTAACTCTTTATGTCTTACTGGGAGTCATGTAAGACAATCTTAAAAGGGAAACTAGAAGTGGAAGATTGAGATGAGTTTTCAGAAAGTAATATGCTCTAGAAATAAAAATAGTATACATTTTATATATCAAATATTTATAATAACTATATTTGTATATATAAATATCCACTAAGTCAAAGAGAATAAACACAGAAGGCAAAATTATGGACACCTATACCAACCGGCAATGGATAAAGAGGAACATCCACTTGACCTAGGAAATCATCTCTTGTCTGTAAAAGAAAGAAGAAAAAAAATAAGATTAGTAATAAGCTCAATTTCTATAGAAGATTTTTTTGATGCGATATTGCCATCGTCCATAGATAATGTAGAATTTTTTTGTTAATCTTTTCAGCATCAATGGAAAATCAACAGAAAATTAAGAGTAATGTAGTGCAGGACTAGCAGATAGCATAATGGTTACGTTGCTGAACTCCAAGGTAGTCGACCATGGTTCAAGTCCTGGACCCAGTGGCTTAAAACTCACATACATGCATGCCTAGGGTCCCAGGTTGTGGCATGGCCATCATCTCAGGGGGTGATTTCTCACTTTCTGTCTCTCTGTCTCTCTCTGTCTCCCCGGTAAACACACACATTCTATAGCAAAAAATCTCTCTAAAAAACAAAAACAAAAATGGGAGACACTGGAGTAGGCAAAGACTTCTTTTACGCAAGATCCCCAAAGCACAGGCAATAATCCCAAAAATAGACAGGTGGGATTACATGAGATTAAGAAGTTTCTGCACTGTGAAAGACACCGTAATTAGTGTGAATCGACAGCCCTCAGAATGGGAGAGAATTTTTGTTAGCTGTGTCTCAGATAAGGGACTGAATACACAGGGAACTCAAGTGGCTTACCTGGGAGAAAATGATTAACCCAATTAAAAGATGGGAAAATGAGCTGAATAAACAACTCTCTAAAGAAGACATACAAACAGCCAAAAAGTATATGAAAAAATGCTCAACATCCCTCATCAAAAGGAAGATGCAAATCAAAACCACAATGAGATACCACCTAACCCCAATCAGAATAGTGAAGATTAAAAAAAAAAAAAGAAAAATGATAAGTGCTAGAGGGGATGTGGTTAAAGGGGAATACTCCTACATTGTTGGTGGGAATGTAAATTGGTCCAACCACTGTGGAGAACAATATGGAAGTTCCTCAAAGACCTTCAAATAGAACTACCATGTTATTCAGCATTTCTACTCCTGAGTATCTACTCAAAGAACGGGAGAACGCTCAGTCAGAAAAGCACTTGCACAATTATATTCATTGCAGCATTATTCACAATTGCTAAGATATGGAACCAACCCAAATGTCCACAAACTGAGGAAAGTTTTGAAAAAGTGTGGCACATATACTACATGGAATACTATTCAGCCATAAAAAAGGTCCTGGAATTTGACAGAAAGTGGAGGAATATGAAAGGTTTGGTACTGAGTGAAGCAAGTCAGGCTATAAAAGAGAGACATAGTATGTCTCCACTTAACATATACCATACTGACTGTCTGCACTCTATGGTAGAGACTGAAAGACTGGAGGACATAAAAGTATTAAAAATTGTTATGGACACTAGAGAAGTGGAAGGAGAATGTGGGAGGGGAAGAGTATAGGAAAGGAAATTTTGGGAAAAAATAGATGAGACATTTGTGAGACATAGATACGGTTTATTATCTACTGATGACAATGTGTAGAGTATTCTCAACTGAGCTGGACTGAAGTGTACATCATGCTGGGTAAAGTCTCTTTACAATCTAAAAACAAACAGCAAAACAACAAAAAAGTAATGCAGTGCAATTTCTGGTAATGACAGACTAGTGTCATTTTTAGATTAATCCCAACTCTGCAGATAATAATTATATACTCCAACAAAATATAAAAATGACTACTTGAAAGCACAAACAATGACCAAACCAAGCAGGAACTGGAGGGGAGTCAATATTTAAAAGAAGGACCTACACTAGGATTCCTATTTATATGGCTTTTTACTGGTAGTCCACAGTCCACATTGATAGGGAATGTTTAGAACTAGAGTAGAAACATGTAATATTATTGGTGTGAGGAATCAGGAGACCTTGTTTGGGGATGACAGCATAACTGTAAAGTAAGGGGTAATAATCTAGAAAAGAAAAAACCAAAATAGTCCCTCTAAATCTATATATAAACTTTATCCAAATCCCTAGTTTATCTTTTAACTGCACAAGTGAAGGACAACAGCTGGAAGGCGGAAAGGACGGAGCATGGATTTCAATGGAAGTTCACCAAAGAGGAGGTAGCATTTAGAATTCAGATGAATTAACTTGCTAGAACAAAAATGAACACTCTCCAGGAAAAGACAGCAAAAGTTATCATTTCTATTATATATTACATACATTGTTCAGTATATAATTTAAAAAATCCATAAATATACAAAGGAATAGAAAAATATCCCCCATTATCAAGAAAAAAGTAATGAAGAGAAACCAACCACAACATTACCAAGATCTTGGAATGAACAAACAGAAAAATGAAAGCAGCTATTTTTTTTTTAAAGAATTATTTTATTTTTAACTTTATCTATTAATTTGATTATTTCAATTTGACCAGAGAGGGACAGAGGGAGAGAGAGAGAGAGAAAGCAAGACGCCAGGTCCAGGACTCGAACTGTGGTCGGCCATGTGGGAATCCAGCACCTTTTAGCCACCACGCCACCTGCCGACCCGAAAGCAGCTATTATAAAGATGCTTAAGGTCTTAAAAGGAAACTGAGGTCATAATGAATAAACAGATGGGGAATCTCAGTAGTGAAACAGAAACTATAAAAATCAATACATACTGGGAACCAGCAGTTAGCGTAATGGCTATGTCACTGGACTCCCATGTAGTCGACCATGGTTCGTGTCCCGGACCCGGTGGCTTAAAACTCACGCCGGGCGCATGTGCGTGCGTGCCCAAGATCCCGAGAGGAGAATGGAGGAGAAGGGATTGCAGCGTGACCATCCCTCCTGGGGGGTGATTTCTCGTTTTCTGTCTCTATGTCTCTCTCTGTCTGTCTGGCGAGCGCACGCGCCCTACAGTGAAAATCTCTCAAAAAAAAAAAAAATCAATACATACTTATTTTAGAACTAAAAAATACAATACACGAGATAAAAATCAGTGGATTAGCTTAATACATGATTATAATGACAAGAGAAAGTTTCCATGAACTTGAAGATATATCACTAGAATTTATCCAATATAAAAAATAAGGAGAATTTGGGGTACAGCCAGTGGCACAGTGGTTAAGGTACTGGACTCCTACATAGTGAACTGCAATTCAGGTTCTGAACCCGGAAGCCTGAAACGCATGCCAGGTGCCTGTGATTGCATGCCCAAAAGCCCACGAGGAGAATGGAGAAGGGATTACAGCATGACCATCCCCCCGGGGGGGTGACTTGTCACCTTCTCTCTCCATTTCTCTAGCCAGTGCGTGCATCCTATAGAAAAAAAAAATCACTAACAATAACAATAAGTAAATAAAAAATAAAGAGGATTTCTAGAAAATTTTCAGGTGGACATTTTCAAGGTGAGAGGAGGAGGAATAGTTCAGAAAATGACTGGGTCATCAGAAAAGTCATAATGCATTTTTTCATTTAAAAAAAACACAGAAAAATATGATATGACTTTTCTGACTACCCAATATTTGAAAATAGGCAAGTAAAATTTTTCCAAATTTGGAAAAACAAGCTTGGACAGTCAATGAACTCCATGAACTGATGTAGGGTACATACAAAGGAAACACAGGTAGGCACGACATTGTTCAATGCAGATCCTTGGGTTAGCCAAGTGGCCAGTGACCAAAGAAATCAGATTCCATATGGCCGACTGTGGCTGAAATCCTGCATGGTTTGAATCCTGGCCCCCAGCGCCTTGAAAACTCTCCAAGATCACATGTATGCATGCTCAAAATCCCAACAGGATGAAGACATGAAAGAGAAGGGAGTGTGGTGTGACCACAGCCACTGAGGGGATGCTTTCTTCCTCTCTTCATCTTTCTGTCTCTGGCAAGTGCACATATTCTCTAGCAATTAAGAAAAAATGATAAAAGCAAAAAGCAAAACAGAAAAATCTTGAAAGCAGCCAGATAAGAACAATACATTACATAGAGGAGAAAAAGAAAGAATGGCTGACCTCATTGGAAACAATGAAGGCCAGAGGACAACAGAATAAGTGCTGAACGATGAAAAAGTAGCTAGAATTCTGTATCTTGCAAAAAACACCCATCAAAATAAAAGCAAAATAAAGATTTCAGATAAATGAAGTTGAGATAATTTTGTCTTCAGCAGACCAGCACTGCAAGATAAGCTAGAAGTTAGTTCTTCAAGCTGACGGTAAATGGCATTGGACAGAAATTCAGGTCTAAAAGGAGGACCAAAAACACCAAAAATGGCATATGTGGGGGTGTTGGGGGAGAAGTAAAAGAAAATAAAACAAATAAACCATAAACTTCTCATTCTTTTACAAGGCAAATTATTATTTGTATAAACATTTTTATCAGTGCAATAAGGATTTAAAACATATGCAGTAGCTCAGGAGTAACACAGTTGGTGATTCTGGGGTTTTATGAGAAGGCTCTGGGTTTGCATCCCAGGGTCCCTCTGCATCAGTTATTGCTAGGGTGATGCAAGCATAGAATAGAGCTGCTCAACTTGACAGTTCGATCCAGATCATGTCTTTGCTCTAGAGACTGTCTTGTGCATTGAAGGATGGTAAGCAACATTCCTGGCCCCTACTGAACGCATGTGAGCAGAACCCCTCCTCTAGCTGTGACAACCAAAAATGTCTCTGACATTGTCAAAGGTTCCCTGGGTGGCAAAATCATAACTAGTTGAGAACCATTGCTATTAAAGGTATAAGGCAGAATGCCTGGACTAATATGAAAAGACCCTCCTGCTTCTTTTTTTTAATAGCAACTTTTATCAAGATATAATTCACAGGGACCAGCAGCTGGTGTAATGGCTATGTCGCTGGACTCCCATGTAGCTGACCGCGGTTTGAGTCCCATGGTGGCTTAAATTCATACCATCCACGTGTGCGTGCGTGCCCAAGATCCGGAGAGGAGAATGGAGGAGAAGGGATTGTGGTGTGGCCATCCCCCCCTGGGGGCTGATTTCTTGCTTTCTGTCTCTCTTTCGCTCTCTGTCTTTCTGGTGAGTGCATGCGCCCTATAGCGAAAACCTCTCTGAAAAAAATATAATTCACGTATCATATAATT